TCGTCTCCCTCCTGCCACACGGCAGCCCCCGAAACCCCTTCCCCAGGCCTGCAGCTCAGCAGGGTTAGGAGGAACTGGGCCGAGAATCTTCCCTCTTTGTATACATCTATCCGTTTTACACTTCGGCTGAGATACTTGCCCTCTAGACTTCCCTCCCAGCCTCCAAGCGTCAGGAAAAGAGAAAAGAAGGGGCAAGGGCATCTGCCACCAAGAATAACCGTAGCCCTCCTGGATTTGCTCGCACAAAATTGCCCACAGGCACCCACGAGCCTCACTCGGGCTCCCTTGATGGTCAAACTGTTGGAAAGCTGCCTGGCCCTAGTTGTGGGGAAAAAAACCCAGAGATCCTGAGGCATGGGGAGGAGCGTAGGAAGGAGGACTCCCGGGAACCAGTGCACTGAGGGCGGGCCTTTCCTGGAGGAATTTTATATTTTATATTGTTATATTTTTAGTTGTCCAGCTAATTTCTTTTTATTTTTAGTAGAGACGGGGTCTCCCTCTTGCTCAGGCTGGTCTCGAACTCCTGACCTCTAGTAATCCTCTCGCCTCAGCCTCCCGGAGTCTTCCTTCCTGACCTCCGAGGACCACTCCCTCCCCCGTCTTTCTCCCCACTCCCAAGAGGGCGGGGCGGGGGAGCGGCCAGTGAGCCCCCAGCGCCAGGGGTTTGCGCTCACAGCTGCCCAGTCTGACAGCTGTCCTCTGCCAGCACAGGCCCGGTCGCTTGCCTTGGCTGCGTGACAAAGTAGTCAGAGATTATTAGGGTATAGGCTTGGCCCGTGGGATGACAGAACCAAGTTTCTCAGGCCCCCAGGACAGTGACCAGTTGGGCCCCTCCTGGAGTGACGTCAGTGGGCCCAATGCTGGGGGCCAGCCCAGGGCAGACCCTCTCACTTCACCTCTGCAACCTCATTATCCAGAGGCGTAGGCAGGACTGGATGAGACTGAGCCCCTAAATCACACCCAGTGACTTTATCTGCCTTCTCCGCAGACCCAGTACCCTCCTCTTTTCTTTTCTTTTCTTTTCTTTTTTTTCTTTCTCTTCTCTTCTTTCTTTCTTTCTTTCTTTCTTTCTTTCTTTCTTTCTTTCTTTCTTTCTTTCGACAGAGTCTCACTCTGTTGCCTGGGCTAAAGTGCCATCAGCCTAGCTCACAGCAACCTCAAACTCCTGGGCTCAAGCAATCCTCCTGCCTCAGCCTCCCAAGCAGCTGGGACTGCAGGCATGCACCACTATGCCCAGCTAATTTTTTTCTATATATTTTTAGTTGTCCAGCTAATTTCTTTTTATTTTTAGTAGAGACAGGGTCTCCCTCTTGCTCAGGCTGGTCTCGAACTCCTGACCTTGAGTAATCCTCTCGCCTCAGCCTTTTTTCTTTTTTCTTTTTTTTTTTTTTTGAGACAGAATCTTGCTCTGTCACCCTGGTAGAGTACAGTGCCATCAGTGTAGCTCACTGCAACCTCAAACTCCTGGACTCAAGCAATCCTCCTGCCTCAGCCTCCTGAGTAGCTGGGTCTACAGGCACGTGCCACCACACCTGGCTAATTTTTCTTTTTTTCATAGAGACGGGGGTCTCACTCTTGCTCAAGCTGGTCTTGAACTCCCGAGCTCAAGCAACCCTCCTGCCTCGGCCTCCCAGAGTGCTAGGATTATAGGCGAGAGCCACTGCGCCCGGCCCTCAGTGCTCATTCTTGATCACCAGTGCCCGCCCTCTCCCCACACTCCCTTCCGCAGGCTGGCTCTACCCCTCAGCCCTACCAACACAGCATCTCTAAAAGTCACTTGTGGCCGGGCGCGGTGGCTCACGCCTGTAATCCTAGCACTCTGGGAGGCTGAGACAGGTGGATTGCTTGAGATCAGGAGATCAAAACCAGCCTGAGCAAGAGCGAGACCCTGTCTCTACTATAAATAGAAAGAAATTCATTAGCCAACTAATATATACAGAAAAAAATTAGCCGGGCATATGGTGGCGCATGCCTGTAGTCCAGCTACTTGGGGCTGAGGCAGAGGATTGCTTGAGCCCAGGAGTTTGAGGTTGCTGTGAGCTAGGCTGACGCCACAGCACTCACTCTAGCCTGGGCAACAAAGTGAGACTCAAAAAAAAAAAAAAAGTCACTTGTATCCACCGTGTTTCTCCTCCTTCTCCACTTCTTCAGGATCTGGCACCTCTGTCCCGCCCCCTGCTGGAAACTCACCTCTGTTGCAGCCACTCTTCACCTTTTGTAAAGTTTAGGATTTCACTGAACCGTGAGCCGCCACCTCTGTGCTCCTGGGCCTCCCCTGCTGGGGCTGGTACCCACTTCCGGCCACGGCCACGGAGGGAGGAGGGTGATGGAGGACGGACCTGCTCCTGCAGGTTTCCTTCGCGACCTCAGGTGACCACTGCCTCCGCCTGGTCTTTCTCCCCATTCCCAGGCCCCCTCTGAGGTGCCTGGGGACAGGCGGGGAGAGGGCGAGTGGGTCCCGACACAGGAGGGTGGCTTTGCCCTCAGCTAACAGCTGTCCCCCCCAGGCGCAGGTACCGTGTCACACTCCTGATCCATTCTCTGTCTCTGACCGCTCCTTCCCATCTCCTGCTCTGGCTCCTCGTCCCTGGGCCTCCTCAGGGCCTTGTCCTCACTTCCTTTTCTCCTCTCTCTTTTTTCTTTCCTGGCAGACCTACCCACCTACCATTTCAACTGTTACTTCTAAGCAGAGGGCTCCAACATGACCTCTGTCCCCAACTTCCTCAAACTCCAGATCTGCCTTTTCAGCAGCTCCCTCGTGCCTCAGTTGTACCTCAAATCCCACCATCCAGACACAACTTCTTATTCCTCCACATTTCCCAAACCACTGCCACCACATTCTGATATGTGACATCATCCCGTCTCCACAGACAGTTTCTGAGACTTTTACCATCCCCAGGCAACCACGGTAACTTTTCCTGGTTAAAACTGAGCGTGGCCCTGGCTGCAGGGTCCCTGTGGGTCCAAGTAGAACGGATCCACCAGGAATCGTCTTCCAAACCCGCAGCTGCCATGCTGTGCCCGAACCACCCACTGCGGGGAGAACGCCGGGTTTTCCTTGCTCCAGACGGCAGGGTCTAGAGCAGGGGTCCTCACACTTTTTAAACAGGGGGCCAAGTTCACTGTCCCTCAAACGGTTGGAGAGTGCGCACTGTGGGCCCGGGACCAGTCGGCTGCTAAGCAGGACAGGCAGCTGTGGCAAAAACACCCGGAGGCCCGGATAAATGTGCTAGGCGGCCCGCATGTGGCCCGCAGGCCGTAGTTTGAGGACGCCTGGTCTGGAGGGAGCGCAGCCCTTTGTAGACGGCTCCACATCTGCCGAAGACTGGGAGCCCCTAAGGGAATGACTCAGTGCTCCCTGGGCAGGGAAGATAAAAGGAGACCTTCCCCTGCACTGTGAGCAACTTCCTGCTGCTGGGTCACTCACTCTGGGCTAAATGACCCTCTAGGAAGGGTTTAGAGTCCTCTGAGACAACTGCTACTTTGTGCAGTGACAGCAATTCATGGGTGTTTGAATCAGAGAAAGAGAGAGAGAGAAAGAGACAGGGTCAGGGTCAGGGTCAAGGGTCAAGGGCAGCTGTCAACAAAGGGGGCAGGCTTGGGGCTAGGAGGCCACTGTGGGAGGTCTGAGGCCACCCTGCCCCCTACAAGGACGAACCCACGCTGGAGCCATTCTGATCTCCAGCCTCTCCTGCTGCAGGAGCGCCCAACCTCCCCTCCCACTTCTTCCCTGCTCCCCTTCTCAACCCTGCACGCCACCACTTCAGCTGAGGCCCTCGTGGCCGCAAATGTGGAACCCTGGGACCAGCAGTGGAACACAGAATGGGGTCGAGTTAAGAACCTTCCTAGGAACTGAAAATACTTCATTCTCTCCTATTCTTCCAAAACCGGAAATTCGCCTCTACCCTGCCAACCACCTCCCCCAAGTCAGGGGACCTGGGTTCTTGTGCCGGTTCCTGCATTGACCAGCTACCGGACTTAGCACAGAACAACCAACCCTTTTTGCATTCTAGTTTCTTCACCTGAAAATGAAAAGTGTACAGCATTCCCTGCTTACTGTAGGATTGACATGATGATAATATTGTGATTGTGCAAGAGCAGTTGAGTATTAACAAGTCACGCTCATTACATTGCCTGCCTGGATCTTTGCCACAACCTTGCCAGGTAGGCAAACAATTTCACACTCTTTTAGGGATGGGGAAACTGAGGCTCCCTAAGGAGGAAGGATTTGCCTGGCTGCAAGGCTTGCATGCGGCAGGGCTGGGATCCAACCACGGCCCCTGTACACTGCACCCCGTAGTCCCAGCATGGCAAGGGGCCATGTGTCACAGCATGCTGCTATTATTTTTGCCCAGGATGACTGCAGCCCAAATATTTGCCCGTGGATTAGCACTGGTTACTTTGGGCATCCTAAGCACCTCCAATCTGTCATTTCTTAAGTGGGTCATTTTGACCTGAGAAGTAGGTGTAGAATCACTAGCCTGGGGGCCAAAACAGGAGGGTGGAGTTAGCCAAGGAAGAGGATGAGCCCGTGGATATTTCCGATGCAACTATCCGCTGCTGGCGATCCCACTTTCTGCCGGGCACAGTTTTGGGAAAGCTCATAGATTCTAACAGTCTATGAGAAAACTTATACCCAGGAGGAATACAAAGACAGGCCAAGGTCACACGGCTAGTAAGTAACTGAGCTATTCCAGCCCCAGGTTTCCTAATTCTAAGTCCAGTGCTCCTTCCATGCTGCCTGGATTTCGGGCTACTTTTCATTTCATTCTGTCTGGGGCTCGTGCCCCATTCGTGTGTACACCTGACAGTCAGTAAAATGCTAGCGATGGGGCCATGTGCGTCGTGGATGCTTTCCCGGAGACGTCCCCGGCATGAGAGGGGCAATCCTCTTGATCACTGCCTGGTCCAAACACAAGGCTCAGGACACAGCTGTGTCCCCAGGGGCCAGGACAACCCCACGGCTACGTGTGTGCTGGGGAAGTGCAAACATTACTCACGACTTGTCTCGCCTGCCAAGCCTTCTCGGGGGACTTGCTTGCCTCCGTCGGGGGGACAGGGATTTTCCCCGGCTTCTCACCTGGGTCGGAGAGTGGGCACTTGCAGGTTTCAGAATCTGGAGGGGATAGGAGGAGTTAGCCACAGTGGTTGCTAAAGGACCGTCACCCTCCTGTCTTCCCGCAGCACGGCATGCCAGCCCCCAGCCCATTGGTGATGCGGTGGTTTAGCAGGCCCTGAGCAGCAGGACTGCTAGCGGAGGAGGTCGCAGATACTCTGTCCCTCTCTCGTTCTGCACTGGCAAGAGTCAAGGGCCATCTGGACGGTCACACTGTGCCCCCTTTGCCAGGGCAGAGAGGGGAGCAGAGGCCCATCCATGCCTCAGCCTCCTGGGGCTGTGTCTGGTCGCTTGGCAAGCTCCTCTCCCCGTGAAGGACAAGTCCCATCTACGTTGTCCCAGAAACCAGCTTGCTGTTCCCCTGACTCTGCCGTCCCACGCACATGACAGAGTGGCTTCAATCTATCAAGAATCTCCACTCCAGGCCCCGCAAAGTGAAGATGACAAGTGCAAATGCTAAACATAACCAAGCCTGAAGTCAGCACAATCCCTGTCCCCCGCCGTCTCCAGTGTCTGCGCGGGCTCTCTCTCAGTGAGTCCACAAGCCCCGGAGGGACAAGGACATCGCTCACTGTGGAGGTTAAGCCGGTAGCGGGAAGGAGGGCTCATGAGCACAGCCTGTATACGGCGGCACAGCGAATGTTTCCTCGTGTGCTCTCGCGACGCCAGGTTAGAACTTTATGCCACAAAGTGCTTTGCAGCGTATAAGGCAAAACGGAGACATAACGTGAACCCAGAAAAAGATTATAAAGCAGGGTGACCAACTCATCCTGATTTCCCCGGGCCTTTCCTAGTTTCAGTACTGAAAATCTCCTGCCCTGGGAAAGCCCTCAGGTTCCAGGCAAGCTATGACGACTGGTCACCCCAGTATAAAGACAAAACAGAACAAAACTAGAGCTTCAATATGACACGACTAACATTTTAGATCTGATCTCATAGAAAGAAGTGCAGCCAAGACATCGCTTTCGCTGCAACATTTCCATCGATTGCAGCTGTTTGTTGAAGCAGTATGTGCAAAGAGAGACATTAACCTCAAGAAATTCTTGAGCATCCTAGAATGGGGTTGAGGGGGGGAGTGGGATGGAAAAAGAGCTGTCTCGTATCACTCGCTCGTCTTCCCAGCACCTACCTTCATTCTCATGTCCCTGGCGAATTTCTCCAGCTCCTTCCTTATGTCGGCCCTCAGCATCTTGGAGACGTTGAGGACCAGCTGCTTCCACTCGATGGGCTGGAAGCTGTGAGGCTCGTGGGGCACGTACAGCCCGATCTTGACCTTCTTGACTGAGTGCAGGTATTTCTTATAGGAGTCTTCAAAGTCAAAGATGAGGTCACTCAGAGTCCGAAAGGTCAACGGCTTGTCCATCAGCTCGGCCCTCCGGCTCATGCCCAGCGAGCCGTAGTGGCCGTTGCAATAAATCCCCAGCACGACGTGGTGAAAGTAGTTTCCTGAGAAGTAGGTTTTAAAGCTGATGGGGAACCGCTCGATGGAAGGCTGTCCGTTGGTTAAGTATCTCAGACAGTCTGAGTCAAGGAAGAGAAAAGGAGGCCTTGCAAATTCACAGAGCTTAAGCCTTCCCGGAAAGGAAGGTTTGTCACGGGGGTCAGGGGTCAGGGAGTCCATCCCTCTGCCTCCGAGCCGGCCCACCTGGGACTTCTCCCGACTAATCCTTTTATAAAGGATTCCCTTGAAATCTTTGATTACCTGCTACAGAGTGGTGCGCACCAAAGCCAAATTAATATGGGACAAAGAGCAAAACTTGTCATTTTCTTCAGTAATTTCATAAATGCAAAACGAAACGATAACAAGGCACTTTTTCCCCACTCAGTTTTCTACAGGGAATGAGGAGCTATTAAAGAATTTTTTTTTTTTTTTTTTGCACAACCAGAATGATGTGCTCAGACTGCTGCGTGTGGGAGACCAAGAAACAAAGGCCACGCAATGGTCCAGTTGCAAAAAGAAAACCAGATCCAGGCAGTGGAGAGCCGAGAGGCAGACTGGTTGCTTATCTGGATGGCAACGGGCACAAAGGCGTCAGAACGAGTCCCATCGGCACCTTGTCTGCTGCATGCATTGGCCCTGCCCTGCCCACCTGTGCCAGCAGCCCTGGGTACCACGCAGAAAGCTGCCTCCAGTCCCCGACCCACTCAGCGTCACACCTCTCTCCACCTGCTGGCCCGTGTGGGTCTCATAACAGCCTCCTGGCACTACCGTGGTTTTGGCCCAGCCACTCCACAGGGCCAGGCTCCAGGCCATGTCCCCATTGGCTGCATCCACTCAACGGTGGGCAAGAGCCATCCCATAGTGACACCCATCGCAAAGTCCCACGGTGGCCCTGGCCAGCCCATTGCCATTCCCAGACCCAGCTCCTCTGGAGAGGGATATTGGAACCCACAGTGTCACTCCACTGCTGAAACCTTTGGTGACTCTAGAGTGTTCCTAAGGTAAATAATAACCCCTGTGCTTGACAAGTGCTCAGTGAGTGATACAGTTCTGGGCTCTCTGGATATTGTCTTCATCTCTTCTTCACTCCAACTCACCTTCCACACAGAATGGCCTCTTTTTTTTTTTTTTGAGACAAATTCTTGCTCTGTCACCCAGGCTAGCACGCAGTGGCATCATCACAGCTCACTGCCACCTCAAACTCCTAGGCTCAAGTGATCCTCCTGTCTCAGCCTCCCAAGTAGCTGGGACTATAGGTGTGCACCACCACACCTGGCTAATTTTTGCATTTTTTATAGAGACCGGGTCTCACTCTTGCTCAGGCTGGTCTCAAACTCCTGGCCTCAAGAGATCCTCCTGCCTCGGCCTCCCAAAGTGCTAGGATTATAGGTGTGAGCCACTGTGCCCAGCCAGAATGACCTTCTTAAGCCAAAAACTGATATATGTCACTCTTCTGCTGACAAATTTTCATTGTCTCTCATCATCTTCGGGCTTTAGTCCAAATCCCTGAGCAAAGTCCTGCTGTGATTTGGCCCCTTGCATTAAGCCTCTGTATAGTCCTATTTCCCCCCAGGTGGGGCTAGCCCACCCACCTGCCGCAGGCCCTTGACATTTTTGAAGAACAGACCTTGAGGCTGGAACCAATGCACAGATCGGTGCCCACTGTCCTGTGCACATATATTCCCCCATAATATGAAATCAAATATAATTGGACATTTCGAGTGACCTTTATATTACATTACCTTTACATTACAAAGCCGTAACACCAAAGAGATTATGAAGCTTTTAAAAGGATTATGCTATTCCCCCATAATATGCTGAAATAAAAAATTAAAATAAATACATAAATATTATGCTATTAAACAAACTCTCTACTAGGTGACAGTCCTACTGTAGTAATAACTTCTCTTGTGGCTTCACTCACACACCAGCCCGATAGCGTGGGGGGCTGGAAGCTGGCGGAGGTCTGTGGGTCTCAGAGGCACCGTGAGCGGTGAGGATGCCGCGGGCTTGCACACTCTGCTCTGATGCCCGCACGGGCTGCACCGTGGCCTGGAACGGCCTCACCACTATCCACTGCCCCTTCCTGGGTGTCGTGCCTCCCTGACCTCCCCCAGCCTTGCTTGGATACCCTTGCCCACCCCCTGCCCCGCTGCATGCACGCACATGCACACACACGCAAGAACTCCCATAGCACCTCGGGTGGCAGAGGGTGTACCTCTGATACCCCTTGGGCGCAGCACACGCTGGGGACCCAGAAGGGCTCTCAGAAAGAATGAACCTGAGACTGTGAGGATCCACATCTTCACACACTCAGTGACGGGCTAAATCCAGGTACCCTGACAAGAAGGAGCTGCTAGAACCCAGCCCACAGCCCTGACGACAGCCTTGTCCTCTGTCCTGGGTTTAATCACAGACGGCTTCTCTCTCTCAGGCTGTTTACCTGCTTTCTCTTCACTTCGTCGTGTGAGATGAACTGGCAGTCAGGAATGAAATCACACCCTCTGAGTCCTCTTACACAAATTCTTACCTGCTTTCTGGGACGAGTTCTCTGGGCCTGGGATAAGGGCATTCTTTAGTTGTTTAAGTCAGTGCAACAAACAGTTCTGAGTATCTACTGGGCCAGACAGGCTGCTAGGGAGGCATGAGGGGCCAAAGGCAACAATGTAGCCCTTCTCTGGAAGTCTGGCAGGAGACAAACTCAAAATGGACACAATGTAATCAGCATGGTGGGTCCTCAAATAATTAAACAGAACTGCTACATGATCTAGCAATTCCATTCCAGGGTATATACTCAATGAACTGAAAGCAGGGACTCCCAACAGATATTTGTACACCCATGGTGTTAAGCAGCATTATTCACTACAGCCAAAAGGTGGAAACAACTTAAATGTCCATCAATGAATAAACAGATTAAACAATAAACAGAATAAACAATAAACAATGAATAAACAGAACGAAATGCAGTACATACATACAATGGAATATTATTCATCCTGGAAAGGGAAGGAAATCCAGCCGGGCGCGGTGGCTCACACCTGTAATCCTAGCACTATGGGAGGCCGAGATGGGCAGATGGCTCAAGGTCAGGAGTTCAAGACCAGCCTGAGCAAGAGGGAGACCCCGTCTCTACTATAAATAGAAAGAAATTAATTGGCCAACACAAATATGCTAGAAAAATTAGCCAGGCATGGTGGGCATGCCTGTAGTTCCAGACTACTTGGGAGGCTAAGGCAGGAGGATCGCTTGAGCCCAGGAGTTTGAGGTTGCTGTGAGCTAGGCTGACACCATGGCACTTTAGCCCAGGCAACAGATTGAGATACTGCAAAAAAAAAAAAAAGGAAATCCTGTAATACACTGCAATATAGATGAACCTTGAAGACATTATGCTAAGTGAAATAAGTCAGACACAAAAGGACAAATATTGTATGGTTCCACTTATCTGAGGCTCCAAGAATGGTCAAATTCAGAGACAGAATGTAGCACGGTGGTTGCTGGGGGCTGGGAAGAGGAAACAGGGAATACTGTTTAATGGGTGCAGCGCTTCAGTTGGGCAAGATGCACAAGTTCTGGAGATGGATGGTACCATGTTGCACAGTATGAATGTCATTAATGCCACTGAACTGTGCACTTAAAAATGGTTAAAATGGTAAGTGTAAATATTTTACCATAATAAAAAACCAAACCCAAACACAGTGCAATGTGTGCTGTAAGAGAGGCAGGGCCAGCAATCTCGGGGTGTCAGAGGAGGGGCCTCGGTGCAGCCACACTGGAATTAGTCTTTCAGGACAAGTGGAGTCAGCCAGGTTTAGAAGTGGGGGTGGAAAGGTGTCAGAAGAGAGCACCAGACCCTCGCATCACAAGTCACAGATCTCTAGGATTTTTCCATCTTTATGTCAATCAGTATAGCCTTGGGACCTGGAGCAACTGGGAATGGAGAGAGAAGGGGCGAGAAAATATGGATGAAAACAGGGGAGTGGCCTGAGCTTTTCCAGAAGGAAAAGGGGGAGCAACAGCATCCCAGCCCTGGAATAACCTGTCCAGCATCCAGCCTCCGGGGGGGAATAGCGCCACTGCTCCTCACGAAGAAGCCTGTTCCTTTAATAAACCTCAGCACTTCCATATCATGAGCAAGCCCCACCACGGTCAGCGAGGGCCCCTAAATACCTGCCAGAATCCAGAAGATAATTTGGAACCAAAGATCCACTCATCCCTCGTGCATGTAAAAGTGTACACGTGCATTTATGCAAGATGAAAGGAAATGGTTCTTCAGTAATGAATCCTGAACTTGAGGCCAAAGTCAAAAAAGAAAAAACAGGAAGGACAAGCCAATCGACACAGACGGTCAAGCCAACCAGCACCAAAGGTGTCAAAGGCACCGTCTGTTTCCTGGGACCTGCAGGAGACACAGACAGATGACCCAAGTCATACCCTGCACCACCCCCAAGTAGAAAGCAGGACCCAGCGATGTGACACAGAGCACAGAGGAAAGACCGGAAGGTGCTGTAAATTTTAGAATTCAGGTCTGTGGCTCTTGTCCATGTTCAAGAGTCAAATCTCCCTGAGTTGGGCAGGAAGAGCTGAATCTCTCCACCCGCCACACTTTCCCTGCACTTTTGTGAAATGTCACACGAATAAGAACAAAGGAAAATTAGAGGACAATATCTGTGATTTGGACAAACCCAAGGCTGGTACAATCTCAAAAGGTTGCAGGCGATTCCAGTGACATGACGCTCGGATGTCTAAAATTGTGCAGGGACAAGACTGTTGTGTGAGCAACAACAGGACCTAAATCCAGGTGCTCTCCAACAGCCCTCAGCGGAGAGTCTGAAGTTGGCCTGTCTACCCCACAAAGGGCCTGGGCTTGTGTTCTCCTCCACTGATCCCCACCGGCAAGCCCCAGCCGATTGCTCACCCCCATTAAACTTGCAGGAGGCTCTGCTGAACAGCTGTGGCCGACGCCCGCCACTAAAGAGTTGGGGCCCTGAGCCATCTGCTGCCCCAAGCCCCTCCTGCGGGTCCCCCCAGGCTCATGTTCACCTCCTCTGTGGGGACCAGGCAGGACTATGACAGGAGGGCCAGGGAGGGGCCTCCGTAAAGCTCAAGTTTCCATTTTTCAAATGTCAGCCAAGGCACCTGTGGACAATCTTGTTTCAGATCAGGCCTGCGAGTCGAGTGCTCCCATACTGCAGAGCGTCGCAGAAATTCCCCTGCCCATAAAAATGTCCAGGAGGCCAAGGAAATGGACCAGATCAATCCCATTGTCCCCAGTCTAATTCTGAACTATGTGTTCTTCTGCTGACTCTCTGTGTTCTTTCTCTCTCTGGTTTTCCTTCTGCCTCTCTGACTGTCCTTCTTCAGTCTCTTTCATGTGCTCTTTGTACCCAACCAGACCAAAAACTGTTGGGAATTCATCCTTGATCTTTTTCTCCTTTCGCTTCTTGAACAGCCACACAATCCCCTAAGCACTTGGAGCTCTGAAATTTGCATTTCCAGTGCAGATTCCCCGTGTGAGCTCCACACTCTAAACACCCCATGCCGACACCTCAAATTCAACACATCCGAGTCTGAGCTCATCTCCCCCTAAATCCGATCCTCCCCTTGAAGTCCTTCCCTTGCCATTGTCCCTGTCCTCTGACTCTCCTATCTAATCAGTCCCCAATGGCGGTGGTCTTAATTAATTCCCCATCTTCCCTCCACCTTCAGCTCGGGTCTGCACTGATGTATCTCACCTCCCTGCCACTCCCATTCCCCCAGCCCATCCTCCAAGGACTGTTGCCCAATCCAGAAACCTGTGTTTGTTCACCCCACTCTCAACTCCTGCAATCCAGTTGGCCCCTGAGCCCTGTACATTCCGTCTCCTGGATAGCTCTGGAAACCATCCCTCCAATCCGGTCCCATTGCCAGGGCCATGGTTCAAGCATCACCATTCCCTCCTGTAAGAGCACCCAGTGGGCTCTGCAGACCCTGCCCCAGCCTTCTCCAAGCTGTCCTCCTTCCGTCTGTCCTTTAGAGCGACTCTCTAACACGTGCACCTGGAGATGTCATGCCTCCACCCAGAGCTCTCATCTGGGCTTCCCATTGCCTTTGGGAAAAGGTCACTTCTCAGCACAGCACTCAGGGACCTAACTGGGCTTACCGGGGACCATCTCTCCAGCTTACGTCTTGCCATGTTTCCTCTGCCACTGTCCCTTCCAGCCATCCACTCCATAGGGCTTGGGAGTGTCTCTGCTTTCCTATCTGGCCCCTGTTCAATTGTCATCACCACTAACAAGTTAGCGCCATCAGTTTTTCTGGACCATCTTCCTTTCAGGCTGAGGAGGCAGCAGTCTGGTGGAAAATGGAACAACAGAGAGTGTGGGAGAGACCAGACCCTTGTTTCAGTTGTGTTCTGTCAAGCCAGGACACTCCACCATTGCTTGGTCTCTTCCACACTCCACTCCTGAAATCTGCTGGGAGAAGGGTTTGGACTCTGGCACTCTTGGCCCTAATTTCATTTCCCCCTGAGTGTCTTTCCTGTCGCAATGTCAGATTAATGCAAGAAATGGCCTCCCCCTGAGTCTCTCTAGTCTCTGCAGGTTGGAATCCTCCTTGTGACTAGTGAATCTGCAAGATCACTGGCCTGAGATCTGGCCCTGACGCAGGCTGTGGCTAACAGGTCAGACTAACGTTGGTCCAAGGAGCCCGACATTGATTTGGTTCAACTCCAGATGGTGAAAGTTAAAGAGAAGCACCAGGGGACTGTGACACTTTCCTCAAGGAGACAACAGGCATCATGTCTGCAAATTTAGGGTGTTAAAGGCACGACCAGCCCCACAGTGAGGCCACCATCTATGAAGTAAAAGTAGGCACATAACTTAAGCAATGGTCCCAACCTTTTTGGCACCAGGGATCAATTTCATGGAAGACAATTATTCCACAGACCAGGGGATGGGAGCTGGGAGGGTGGGGGTGTGGGCGATGGGGGGCGGCTGTAAATACAGACGAAGCTTCGATTGCTCGCCCACTGCTCACCTCCTGCTGTGCAGCCTGGTTCCTAACAGGCCACGGACCTGTACCGGTCCACGGCCGGGAGGTTGGGGACTGCAGACTTAAAGGATACATGCCCAGGATGACAGCTTCAAGGCATTTGATAGGCAAGGACTCTCGGGTCATTTCCTTTGCTGTTTCCATTAACCTGCAGGATAGAGCACAGCAGAGAATCTCAGGACTTATTTAATAATGCAGTCTGTCAGTCTGTCTGTCAATCCATCAGCATGCCTGTCCCCACGCTAGGCACCATGCAGGAACATAGAGGGAAAGGGAATTTGCCACACAAGTTGGCACCAAAGCACATACGCACTTGGCAAAACTAAACTCCTAAATTCTCCACTCCCCTCTCTGAGAGTTAGTCCCTGTATTTCACAGCACCCTCCCAATGCTGGAACAAGTGAAGGAGCCCTCACAAAGCAAATTTTAGGAGCCTCCCCCAGCCTGGGAATTAGTATGCATCACTGAACTTGGCTGTCAGAGTGGCCCACCTCCAACCTGGCCCCGGGCACCCCCCACCTTCACCCTGTACACATTATAGAATATCTGAGCACTCGGATACAGGGATGGGGTCAGGAGAGGGGGTTGGCAGCTCAGGCTAGCAGGGAGGTCATATGGCCCACGATCATGCACCACTTACCCACTCAGCGGTCGCATTTTCCTAATTTCAAAGAACTGGGTCCCTGTATGATTGTATCTGTGCAAAGCATATAAAGGGAAAATGACAGAAAACTCCAAAGGTCCCAGCAATCTGTCAGAGGAAGCCATGCATTCTGATTTCCCCATGAGATGAGGATGTGGAGGCTTTTCAGAGGTAGCCAGTAGCCAGAGGTAGCCAATCGCTTCTAACTCCTCACCGTCCTAGTGAGAATCTAATTTCTAACTTAAGCTTCACAGCACCTTGGACTTTTATAATAGCTCCTTTCATTCGACTCTGTATTCTGATTCGTTGACTCTATGTCTTAATTCATCTACTAGACTACAAGCTCTTTGAGAGCTGGGACTATTCTTTTATCAACTTTAGATCACCCATAAAACCCAGCAAAAGCCCGACATATATGCAAGTTAGCAAATATTATTAAATGAATGAGAAATAAGTGAATGGATGGGTGGATATATGGATGGATAAATGGGTGAATGGATGGATGGAAGAATGGAAAGATGGATGGATGGATGGATGAATGGATGGATGGATGGATGGATGGATGGATGGATGGATGGATGGATGGACGGATGGATGGATGGATGGATGGATGGGAAGGTGCATGGACGGATGGATGGATGGATGGATGGATGGATGGATGGATGGGAAGGTGCATGGACGGATGGATGACAGAGGCAGCTGGAAGCACTTCACACCCTCCTAAAAGGCTCTGGGATTCCTGCCCTGGCCACGCAAGCGGTGGCTGGCCTGTCAGACATGGGCACACATATCCAACTGGAGAGATCCTTATAAGCAGACTGTGGGCTTCATCCCTGGAGACTCTGACCTCAGGCCATGCTTCTTAACCCCGAGTGCCATTCAGAATGACCTCACCTCAACTACTGAACTAGAAGCTCCAGAGCAAGGGCCAGAGGGCGATTTTAACAAGCACACAGGTTCCAGAGTCACTGACCTGGGGCCATAAGAATGACAATTAGCAATATAGGCTTGTCTAGCTTTTTAAAAATACAACATACAAAACCCTAGAGGTAAAAGATTAAAAAATGAAGGGCTAATTATTCTCATTGTGAATTAATTTTACTTTACCAAAGATTTTATTCAAGCAGTGAGATTTTTGGTACACAAAGTAGAATTCAATTGGCAAAAGTTCAGTTCTACGCCCAGCTTTCCCCTGTTCATCTATCTGACTTACACATCTAGTGAGTAAAGGGAGACATACCTATAATAAAATAATAAAAAATTATCTGACCATCCTCTCAGTTCACTGTTAGTAAACTGAGGCCCTGAAAGTGGGCTGGGGAGAAAAGTCTCCTCTAAACATTCCCTAAGGGTAAAATATTCTCTGAGCCAGAGTCTGCCCCAGAAGACTTGTCCCTGTTCAGCAGAGCTTATGTGGCACCTCTCTTTCCAGAACCAGTGCAAAATCAGCACTGCCCTGAGGCTATCCAAGGGTCAGGTGGGATTTGTCCTTCCATACCCTGGCACCTGTTACTGCATCCAGGATAAAGCAGTCAGGAGTCCCAGGGAACTAAACAAAAGTCAGGTCAGAAGGTCGAAGACAAGAGTCCACACTCTGTCTTCCTCGTGTGGTGGCTCCCATGGCAGGTGACCGGGAGCATGCTTCTGAAGCCCCCTGCTGCCTTCCCTTCTCTGGCCCTCTCTGAAGATGAAGGAGGCCATTGACCTCTGCAGTCATAAAGGGTCAGAGAAGAGAAAAAAAAAAGCACAGATCCGCAGGGGAACAATGAGAACTCTCGGAGAATGAGCTGTGAGGCTGGCAGGGGCGTGAGCAAATATGCAAAGCACGTGCACATTTGCCCCATCAACACATTCCCAGCCAGGCTATTCTCTGGCCAGATGATCCTTGGAAAGATCATGAACTAGATGGAAGTGGGGAGCCATTCTAATTTCTGTCACCTTCTGGAATGTTCTGTGAGGAGTCGTCACATCCAGAAAGGGTTAGCTCTTGGGGGCCAGGCTTACCCTGGCAAGAGTTTGTGCCTCTGGGCCACATGGAACTGGGGGTCAGAACCAACACCAGCAGCCTTCCAAGGGCCAGAAAGAGCTCCAAGGACTAGGGCTGTCGGTCTCACCCTTGGAGACCGGCACTACTTTCTGCTTCTAACGTTGCTTTAGGATTCCACTGGGAGGATGCCATGCAGGGGATCCGATGATCCATGAAGTAGAAACAGAGAGGCTCCTCAAAGGACCTCCCCACCCAAATGAGCAGAAATGGGTGTTCTTCCCAGCAGGTGACATCCAGCCCTAGGAGACAGGTGCTGGTGTTTGGCCCCTTCAGGGAAGACAAAATATCCACCAGAAAGATCCTAGCCTATAACACAGAGAGGAGGGGCTCTTCCGGGACATGTGGCGTGACTGAGGCCTTGGAGGGCATGCTGAGTTTTATATATTGATGGAGGAGGAACAGAGGTCGGCAGAAGCTTGACTTCCTGGAGAATGTGCTAAGCACCAACTCCCATCTGACTCCTGTCCTTACCAAATCCCAGAAGAGGCAAGTGGACTATTTGCTTCCAACCCTTTGTTCCTACAGCACTGCTTGGAGTGGCCCTCAGAACCGATCTAACCTTGGCTGCAAACCACCCAAGGACAGGGGAGGAGAAACGGATCAAAAGTCTGGCTGGTATGAACCCAGCCTGGACCCACAGGGTTTCTTAGCGCCTCTTCAAGCTCGAGCAGCCAGAAGAGTGCTCCCTTCCCGCAGCCCATCCACTCATGCAGAACCAAGCCAGGTCACCAGCCGGGGGCACTGGGGAGCCCAAGGCAGTGCCACGTGGGCCTCTTGCAGATCATGAGTGTTCAGGGATGAAGGCAAAAACATGAGAGAGGAAAGGAAAGGAACAGAAGAATAGCAGGGAAGAGGGCAAAAGAAAGACAGGAGAAGACAGGAGGAGGGGAACAAATTTGACCGAGAATGAAGAGGTAGAGAAAGAGGAGAAGGAAAAAGAGTGGAGCCCAAAGGGGAAAGAGAATGAGACAGGGAAGAGGAGGAGAAAAGAGAAGCCAGAGGGGCTGGAGGAGGACCAGCCCGCCCCACTGGCCCCTGCCAGGCCTGTCCACATACGCCTTGAAGGGAGAAGTGCTGAGTCACCGCAATGACATCCTCTGTTTGCTCTTTTTCTAGACTCTTGCCTGGGGGCAGCCCTCCATGCCTGGCCTCACCAAACTTACAGAGCTTCTGATGACCAGCTGGGGACAGATATGCCACCAGGCTTGGGACCATCAAGCCTGTCCCCTGGCAGGGTCTGCTCAGACCTTGGTCGGAAGGATACTGTAGTGTCTTCATGTAATTCTGGATCGCCTGGAGCCAGTCTGGAATTGTCATCGACAGCCTGTAGTTTGGGACCTGGGGTATTGAAGGCTGCAGAGAGATAGAGAGGGGGGAATCTTTTTATCAAGGAGCTGCTCTGGGACCCAGCCCCTGGGGACAGGCACAGGGCTGAAGACCCCAGGGAGAGAGCTGCTCACGAGAGGCCACCCGGGCCTGGGCACCTGTTCAAGTGGTGCCTCGTCCACAAGGTCTCCCCAGACAGTCGGTCCCTCAGTGAATTGTCCCTCTCTGAGTTCCCTCCATACAACACGCTGCTCTGGGTCACAGTGTTCTCTGTGACCCTCTGCACATTGTGAGTGTGAACACAGCCTGCCTCCTCCTGAGAGCCCAAGCACCTCCTTGAGGCCCAGGACTATGTCCTATAGTGTCCAAGGCCACCACGCCTGGCCTAGGAGGGACACAGAGGTGCTCCATTAATTATTGCATGACACCTTTGGCTGTGTGGCTGATGGTGACCCATTGTATGTGCTCCACTCCAGGGCACCACTTACACAGAGTGTAAGGTGAATGGTGCCCCAGAGAAATGCAACATGGCACTATTGCTCTGTCTCGATACCATGCCCCCTGCCATGCCCACGGCATCCCCTCTCCTGAGTCCCGCCCCAAGTGGACTCTTAGCAAAGACCCTCCTCCTGCCTTGACTCCTCCCAGACAGAGCAGCCCCTCGGGCTCCCGAGCCATCTTCCTCCCCTGCTCCTCACTGCGGCAGCACCAGCGCCTTCATCCCTAGTCTGCCTCTCGGGCCCACTCGCCACGTGTCTGCAACCGAGTGGACGAAGTTCTGATCCCTGCTGGGGAGAGAAAGGACCAAAAGCAGGCAAGGACCGGAAAAGGGAAGGCAGGTGCCCCTTCTCTGGAATTCAGAGCTGAGACGCCCCCTCGGCTCTGAGCAGCCCTGCCGAGGAGGCCAAGAGCAAAGAGGGACATCCAGTCAAGTCACTCCTGGGAAACAAGGGATGTCAGCCCAGGGTTTTCTGCTTGGCGGGTTGGTTTTTGTTTTGTGTCATTGTTGTTGTTTGCTCTATTGCCCCTGTATGTCTCTCAGTGTCCCGGCCTCTGTCTCTCTGGTGGCTGGCGACAGAGAAGCTCAGCCCACGGTCCGGGGCGCTGGGAGAGCTGCCACTGGCAGGAGGGGTGAGCCTCCTCCAGGCTAAGCTGCTTAGGGTGAAGCAGAAAGGGCCAGAGGGTGGATTAGTCTCCTGCTCGGAGAAAATAGGGCAGGCGTGGCCCTGGGGATTTAGTGCTTGGCTAGACAGGAGGCGAAGCTGCCGGTGACCAGCCCCGGGGACCGCCCTGGGCAGCCTGGCTGGGCAGCGGGGCCAGACACTACCCCAGGCATTTCCTGGGCTCTGCAGGCACCAGCCCCGCAGCGACTGAGGACACGCCGCCCCAGGCACGACCAGCACCAGGCTCTTTCCGCTTGTCTACACCTGTGGCTGCCCTTACTGGAGACGCTCCTTGACATGCTTTTCCTCCCGGTGCCTCTATTCTCTCTCTTGGCTTTGAGACTTCCTGCTTCCCAGCAACGGCCCCCTCGGCTGCGAGGAAGCGAGTCACACTTGCTCCGTCACGGCCGAGGCGCCGCGTGCGCCTGGGGACGTGAGCGCGTGCACACACAGGCACAAAGTCTGCCGCCAGCGACGTTTTGCTCACAACATAGCAACTCGAATAAATCCCATTCCCGTCTAGGAGAGTCATTTCACAAAGCAATATGTTCTCCTTTGAATATCTGCTCCTACAACACACTCTCTCTCTGTCTCTCTATCTCTCTGTCTCTCTGTCTCTCTCTCTCTCTCTCTCTCACACACACACACAGAGCAAGTCAAAATATGAAGTGTGACCTTGTGCTTCTTTCTGCCTGACACACACTAGGAAGTGTCAAGCTTGCCCTTAGTTTTTTGCAATAACATCCACCGATCTGCCTGTACCTAGAACTCTGTGTACAAATGTGACAGAGATTCCACAGAGCGAGGAGAGCGGGGCCACGTGAACAGCGTCGCCAGCACATCCTGTGTCCCCAGCTCTAGGTCAGGTGTACGAGGGGTGGGAAGCACGGGAGCAGGGGAAGGGGGGCCGGAAATTACAGCTTATGAAGACAGAAGCATTTCTACCAGAGGAATGGGTACCTCCCTGACATAACAGCTGGTAAGCGTGGGAGGATGCCAGGAAGACTCACCAGCCACCTAAGACATCCCCAAAGGGGTGTCCCTCGGCCCCAGCCTTGCCATAACCAGTGACTTGGCTTGGGTTCCGCTACCGGGCTGACCACTAAATTATTCCAGCTGCCCCCAAGCCCTGCAGCGCCCACAAGGGCTGGAGGGTGGGGTGGAGCCAGGCAGCAGTTGGTCCTCAGAATAGCAGCCGAATGGCGCCCAAGGGCTTTTGAAAACAGCTGCAGGGTTACCTCAGCCTGGCTGTGAGCAGAGCACAGGCGCTGTGGCCACACTTCTTCCCCACTGGAAGGACAAATGTATACATTCCCCACATCCAGGCTGGGGGGCAGGGCTGCGGAGGGGACAGCACAGGCTGCAGACTGCCCCGAAGGCTGGGAGAGTTCCCTGTGCTCAGCTTCCAGCCGGGCTCAGGCTGCCCATGCTCCCACCCAACCCGGACTGGAAACCAGGAGGGCTTCTCAGGGTATAATTAGGAGACACATGCAGCTAGGTTCAAATTCCTGCTCTGTCACCCACTAGCTGAGGACCTTGGTCAAACTGCATGACCTCACTAAGCCCCCGTTTTCTTCCTGATAAAATAGGAGTAGTATTAAATATCACTGACTCCAAACCTTCCAGGCTGGTTGTACGGATTGCACGAGCTAAGGGAAAAGGAGGCGGTTGGGGGCTGGGCACACGGTGCTCATGAACTGTCAGCCGTGTTACTACCCATCACCACTGTGTTCTCAGGGGTCCAGACTGGAAAGCAGGATCAGCAGTGCCCAGACACTCAACCAGGGAGCTTCACATCATGAAGACGCCTTCTCACCCTAATGGAATGGGCTGAAGACATCCACTTCCCCTGGGAACACAAGTTCATATCCTTAATTTGTGATGAGTTCACACAAAGTGATAAGAAAACTCTTTAGGCCTCAAGACAATAAAAATGGCCCCCAAAGGTGGAAGCCACTCGAGTGTCCACTGATGGATGGATGAATAACCAAAATGTGGTCTACAAGAGAATATGCAATGGTATACGATGGAACATTATTCAGCCTTTAAAAGGAAGGACATTTTGACACATGCTGTAACCTGAGTGAAGCTTGAGGGCATCTTCCTAAGTGAAATAACCCAATCACAAAAGGACAAATACTAGTATTGTATGATTCCTCTTACACAAGGTTCCTAGACTAATCAAAGTCATAGAGACAGAAATAGAATGGTGGGCCGGGTGCAGTGGCTCATGCCTGTAATCCTAGCACTTTGCAGGGCTGAGGCAAGAGGATTGCTTGAGGTCAGGAGTTTGAGACCAGCCTGAGCAAAAGTAAGACCCCGTCTCTACTGAAAATAGAAAAATTAGTCGGGCATGGTGGTACCTGCCTGTAGTCCCAGCTACTTGGGAGGCTGAGGCAGGAGGATCGCTCGAGCCCAGGAGTCTGAGGTTGCAGTGAGCTATGATGACGCCACTGCATCCTAGCCTGGGTGACAAAGCGAGACCCTGTCTCAAAGTAAAAAGAAATGTGGAACGGTGGTTGCCAGGGGCTGGGGAGAGAGGGAAGTGAGGAGTTAGTGTTTAATTGGTACCAGAGTTTCAGGCTGGAGACAGATGGTGGTGATAGCTGCAAAATATGTCAATGCACTTAATGCCACACAACTGTATACTTAAAAAATGGTTAGAATAGTAAATCATATGTTATGTATATTTTAGCATAACGAAAAAAGGCCATGAAAAGACGTTCACAAAAGAAGAAAACAGTAAATAAAATTTGAAAAAATGTTCAAGCTCACTAGTAATTTAAGAAATGCAAATTAAACCCACTTCAAAGGGTCATTTTTTTTTCACCTCTACACTTAGCAAAGAGATGCTAAAATGCAGATACCCAGTGCTGGCCAGGATGTTCTCATACGGCACTGATGCGAACGTAATAAACTGATGCAATGTTTTTAGGAAGAACCCGGGGCACACCCTTTGTTCTTGTTCCCAACGGGGGTCCTAAGAGTCCGTCCTCATGCTATTTTCCTGCTAGATTTCATCAAGTACGGTGCTATTAATTCCTGAAGCTCTGCTTTTGATGTACTATAGCCCTTCCCTTCAAGGCTCTCACACCCTGTGTGCTGAGGCCAGCCCCGTGAGCCGCAGCCAAGCTGATGCAGGCAGAATCCAGACAGAGCAGAGCAGAACCAGCCCCTCCACACAGATGCTGTGCCTACGGGCTGGGGTTCGGGGAGGACAGAGCAGAGGGGACGAGAAGATGGTTGCTCAAGAGGAAGAATAATGAAACAATCTATAGGCAAGACTCCTGTGGATGGCCTCTCTTCCACTTGGTTCATTTTTTTTTTTTTTTTGAGACAGAGTCTCACTCTGTCACCTGAGCTAGAGTGTCGTGGCATCAGCTTAGCTCAAAGCAACCTCAAACTCCTGGGCTCAAGCGATCCTCCTGCCTCAGCCTCCTGAGTAGCTGGGACTACAGGCATGCGCCACCATGCCCAGCTAATTTTTTCTATTAGAGACACAGGGGGGTCTTGCTCTTGCTCAGGCTGATCTCAAACTCCTGACCTCAAGCAATCCTCCCACCTCAGCCTCCCAGAGTGGGTACAGGCATGAGCTGCCGCACCTGGCCTCTTCTGCTTCATTCTTGCCAAACACAGTTGACTTGTCAGAAGAATGCAAGGGAAATGATGTGGATGGACACAATTGTGTCACCATGTGGGAGAGAAGCGAGAGGTCACGGAAGGAGCCAGGGAGGCAGCAAGAGCGTCAGGGACTAGGAATCTTTAACAAGAACACGGAGAAAGCAGAGCCTTTTGTCACCCCTAGTCTGATGCACTGTGCAGGTGCCAGGCAGAAGAACCTTCTCCCCTGGGAGGAGAAGCAGGGGACAGCACCCATGAGCCAGCAGCAGCCAGGAATCTGTTGATGGCGGCTGACAGCGAGGTCCAGGGCTGTGCAGGATGGACATACGGGTGGATGGTTCTGAATCCGGGACAGGGGAGGCAGTGAGCTGCCGGCGACAGCCAGCAAGCAGCAGGAGCGGGACCTTCACTACATCCAAGTGTCAAGTCCCAAGCACTCACACTTCTTCAGCCAGGCAAAGCTCATTCCTCTAAATGCAAATTATTTCCTAATTTAGAGTCAACGTGAGAACAAGGCACAAAAAAAGGTGGGGTCTGCAAGAAACCGGTTGCTGTTTCCTGCCGAATCCATCCTGGTTTTCTGCTCTTAGGAGAGTCCAGCTCCAGCCAGTCGAGAAACAAAGGAGCCATTGCTAGTATGCCCAGCTGTTCTTTTCTGAGCTGGTCACTCTCTCTGCCCATCCCGTCCCATCCTCTGTTGTCCTCCAACTGACTCTTGCTGTTGTCTTAAACTATACCTAAAATATCCTGGCTTTGACCTGGTCAAGTGCTAACTTCAGACCTGGAACCCCCAGGGGAGAGGTCCACAGCCAGAAATAGGAGGATCTAAGAGCAGGTGAACCATCCCAGGTGGGGACACTTGGACCTTCAGGCAGAACTCACCGTGGCTGCCGATGGAATGTCCTGCAATCAAAGGAGGTGTCATTCAGTCCTTCTCGAAGGAAACCCTGGAAACTCTGCACTGTCCATTTCATTTGCATCCTGGGCCACTTCAGTTGCCAGAATTGTTACTCTCCCTGAAACTCTCCACCTGCCACCACCGCCAGCCGCCCAGCCCACTTCTGCACAAACTCCTCAGCAAGACACTGATTTGGCTGAAGGAGAAGAGGACTTGGCCCCAGAGGAAAGAGTCCGCCATGCCGAGCACAGGAACAGCCCCTGAATTGGCGAGGGATGGCCCTTGGAAACCAGAGCTCTTGAAGCTCTTCCCATGCCAGGGCCTGGGCAGGGGGCAGGGCTTGGGGGAAGCCATGATGGGGTTGGGAATGTAGAACCAACCACTGTGATGCAACAGAAGAGAGAGAAATGTTCAGTTCTTTATATTTAGGGCCAAATAGCCAACTGTTTGCATTTGAGCTGGGGATTCCTGGAGTGGCAGCAGTTCTCATGTGACCTTCAGGTTACTATGAAAACTACAATACGACATGGCTGCTACAGGCTCCACCGTGGGCCTCTCCCCTGGGGTTCCTGGGTCCCTTTTTTATAGAAAGGGAACATTCTTTTTTAAGAACACCGCAGTCAGCTACAATAATGGAAGGCACAGGTCTCGGGAAGTAGCAATCTATGTTCTAAACTGCTTGGACAACATTTACAATACTGTGTTTCATGTGTGCTTGTTTTAGGGGACCGATTGATGATAAACTAGGAATTTCCTAGAAAGAGGACAAAGAGAATGTGTTGATCTGGGAACTATGGCACATAAGAAAGAGTTAAAGGAACTACCTGTATGAATTGTATTGTTTCTTGTTTGAGATATAATAAACTTTTGACTTGAAATTGGACATTTAATATTTAATGACCTAATGACATCCTTTTTTTTTGAGACAGAGTCTCACTTTGTTGCCCAGGCTAGAGTGAGTGCCGTGGCGTCAGCCTAGCTCACAGCAACCTCAAACTCCAGGGCTCAAGCGATCCTCCTGCCTCAGCCTCCCTAGTAGCTGGGACTACAGGCATGCGCCATCATGCCCGGCTAATTTTTTCTATATATATTAGTTGGCCAATTAATTTCTTTCTATTTATAGTAGAGAAGGGGTCTCGCTCTTGCTCAGGCTGGTTTTGAACTCCTGACCTTGCTAATGACATCTTTAAACACATTAACTACTTGTTGAGAAATTTCAACATATTCTTCTTAATGTCTAATGACATCCTAAAATGATCTTATTTCTATCTAAACACACACACACAAAATGTGGGGAGGCTTTAACCCTGGTGTGACTCACCCCCCCTCCCCATGAAACTGGACTAAAATGCTAAAGTAACATAATAAATATGTCAAAGCGCATCTTGCTGCATTTCTATGCATTTCTATTCTACTAAACTTGGACAAGCAAGTTTCTTCTTGCTTCTACCTGGGACAAAGAAGACTAAAGGAAGGTGTGGAATGAAAGAATGTCATAGGTCTGAAGGCTCATAGTGCAGTAGACCCCCAGTGTCACAATGATCAGCATTAGAGACCTAGAGAGTCACTGGTTACATCATCATGGGTTTTCAGAATTGAAAAAAAACTTTACATGAAATCTGATCTACTCCCATTTTATGGATGAGAAAACTAAGGTCAGGAATTTTAAGAGAGTGACGGAGACAGAAGACTAGATGTACAACAAAGCTTAAGATTTAGTCCCTTGATTTTTACTCCAAGTCCCTTCCACCAGAAGAGCACTGTCTGGTGACATTCAAAGGCGCTGTGAGCAGCAAAGAAAGTGGACAATGCTTCACCCTGATTCAAAGGGCAACACAAAAATCAGTGGTGAAATGTGACGGTGGTCGGAGGAGGGCAGCAGGATTTCTGTTTGGCTAAGAGCTTCCCAACAACCAAGCCTAAGCTGCCCTGTGACGCGGTGACACCCCCATTCCCAGAGGTCTTCAAAAAGAGGAAGGGATTGTGCGGAGAGGCGGGAGACTGGTCTCTACCAATATTAAAATTCCATGATTCCCACTCAGAAGAGCCCCCCCACCCCCGCGACAAGGTTGGGCTGATGGAGGCACCAGTAGAGGCAGAGGCAGGGCAGAGGCTAGAAAGGCAGCATGGGGCAGTAGGAACAGGGCTCAGTTCCCTGTGGCCACTTGTCTCCCAGGTTTAAGGACTCCCTGGGCCCTCGGTCAAGGAAAGAAAGATGCTGAAGTTAGAATGGCAAAACAGGACCGGCGATGTTCTCATGTTCAAGGAGAACCCAGCAAGGGTAACTACGGTTGACACTAACGCAGGGAAGGTTCTAGTTGGGCACAATGAAGATCTGCTTGACCAGCAGAGTAATAAAACCCTGGAACCAACTGCAGCGGGAAGTTCAGAGGCTCTGTCACTTCCCCAAGGACACACACAGCTTTCTGGCCTGCAGGCTCAGATGCTCAGCTGTCACCAGGCTGGGGACTCAACCAGATGGCCTTCCAGGTCTCAGGTCTGGCATTCCTAGACCTGCCTAGGAATCTTCCCAGCCACACCAGTGTCGCCAGGGGCCAGGGGAAACCATCCACCATGCCATCACCCCCAGGCTCTGCAGCCTTTCTCCCCAGCTTGCATTTCGATGTTCCATATAAGGCAGCTACTCCCATCAGGGGACGTCCTCCCTCCCTCTGTAACCATATCCTTGGCCACCAAACCCAAATGGCTTACTGGCCTCTCTCCAAGGTAAAAAGAGAGTTTCACTCCTAAGCGTTTCTCTATCCAGACAGACTAATTCATCATGTGTAACTGGAAAGTCCCTTTTAAGTCACAGCCAAAAATCTTTCTTTTTTCTTGGAGCCCAGCTAAGGTGGGAAGAGTTCACTGTTTTGCAAGTTTCAGAGGTGAAAGTCACTGTCATTATAAAAAAAAAAAAAAAAATTGGCAAAAAGTCTAGAAATGATTCACACTGAGAAGTCTGACTGGTTGATTGCAAATTCATTCACAGCTTAATAAATCATTTGCTGGGGGGGAGGGGCAGCGCGGAGCAAGAGACTCCAAAAAGAGCCAGCAGGGCAGGATCCCTGGGGACCCGCGCGTTCTTCTTTGGCATTGCTGGTGCTACCTGGTGGCTCTAGCTTTTGCTGAAGGTGGATGTATTTGAGTGGGAGTAAATAATAAGAGTTTGGCTGGAGGTTCAAAGGAACCTTGGCACAACCCGACTATGCGGTCCCAGGACACCAAGCCCCGTCCCCCTCCCTCCCCCACTTCTGAGGCTTCCAAGGTAAATATCTCAATTAAGAAAAGGGCTGGCGCGGGCCCAATGGGGAGGGGAAGGCAGTTCGCAGCAGGACCAGGAAGATGGAGATTGCCTCTATTTGCTACTTGCAGGCTGAAAAGGTCCCAGCTCTGCCCACCCCGTCACCCCCCCACTCCCCACCCCCGCCTTTGAAGCCACTGACCTTTGCCAAGAAGGTGGCGTTCCTGATGGCGCCCACCATCTCTCCCCCCTTAGGGTGCACCTTGGCCACGTGCATCCACATGCGCTCCCAGGTGTGGCTGTCGATGGGGAAGCCGCTCTTGTTAACGTGAAACAGCACCCCGCCGTCTTTGTCCTCCTCCTCCGAGCCCCCGCTGGTGGCGAGGCTCACGGGCCGCGCGTGGCTGCTCCGGGACCGCGTGCCTTTGGCGCCTTTGGGGTGGGGGCAGCGCTGAGTGTCGGCCGCCGAGCCGGTCATGGCGGGGCCGCGGCGGGGCGTGCGGTGCTGGGCGCGCGCGGCGGCGGCGGCGGTGCCGGGGGGCGTGTGCGCGCGGGCGCGGCGCGGGGATCAGCGCCCCGCGGGGGTGGCCTTCTCCATGCCTCTCGCTGCCGCAGGACGCGCGAAGGGGGAGCGGCGGCCGAGTCCGCGGGGGCGGCCGCGCTCGCGGCTAAGCGCCGTGCCTGAAACCGGTGGAGACACAGCAGACACCACGGCTAAGGGGGACACCCAGAGGACCCGCGGGAGGGCCCCCAAAGTGTTCCCACGTCGCCTCCCGCTGGCCCCGCGCGCTGACAGCCCCCCTTGGAATGGAATACGGGCTTCCAGCCCTGCAGTTACCAGAGTGGCAGCGCGAAATTGGCCACCGAGCTTCGCACACACGGAAACACCGGGGGCGGGGACACGCGGAGCGTGGGGGATGCCGAGTGGACGGTGTAGGGAGAAGAAAGACAGCTCGTGCAGCACGAAGGAGCAGGAGGTCCCCACACATCCCTTGGTCCCCAGATGTGGCAGGGCGAGGAGCCGGGCCAAGAGCGCGTCTGCACGTGAGCGCCCGGGGCTGGCGCGAGGGCGCTGCAGCAGCCTCGGTTTGCAAAGGCGGCCCAGTGTCACTCAGGAAGCCCTCCCGGACCCCGGCGGGGCTCTGGTAGGCAGAGCTCCACGCGCCCCCTTCCCCCGAGTTCCAGCCGCGCACCGGCAGGGACCGGCTGCAGGCGGGGCGCGGGCAGCGCGCGCTGCAGCTCCGGGACCCTACCTACCTCGGGACAGTCGGCTTCATTGCTGCAGAGCCTCTCCGGGAGGCGGGGACGGCGGGGACTGCTGCTGCTGCTGCTGCTGCTGCTGCTGCTGCTGCGGGGCCTGGGGCTGGGGCTGCTGCAGCCGTCGCCTCATTCCATGTCCCATTCTCGAATGTTATTCTGTGACATATAACCGAGTCACCCGGGCAGCCGCCGATGTTCCGAATGCGTCCATTGGCCACCGCAACAAAGAGGGGCGGGTCCCGGGCTTGGGACTCTACAACCCCGAGCTCCGCGACGTTCTGATTGGTTCCAGGGGTTCCCTGGCGGGAGGGGACACGAGTAGGGGGAGCTGGGCGGCCACGCGAAATCCGATAGCTGTAGTGTCCCGGGAGCCCCGCGGGGCTGGAGCGTTTGTCCATGGGACTTAAGATCGAGTTTCCCCCGGGGGTCGTGGCACTGCAAGGGTTTGCAACGGTGGGGAGCAGAGGAGAAGCAAAGCCACCCCAGAAATGCCCTGAGCAGGGCTGGACAGGCACCTGCCTTGGCCGGGATCATGTGTGGTTCAGGCAGGGACTGTTCCTACTTGCGCGCAAAATTAGACCCTACATTGCAAATGTCCCCAAATTAACAAGGATCCTCTGGATCCTTGATGTTGATGTCCTCTTGGATCCTCTGATATTAATCACGGTTAATAAAGTCCCTTTAAACTCAAGCCGATAGGCAACAGCAAAACCCAGGAGGGCAGTCAGGCCTTGCGTGTTCTGCCACAGCCGCTGAGTTAAAGGAGGGGACTCACCATCCACGGAGAATCGGGTGGCCCTCCCATCCTCACTGCTGAAACACCTTTTGCTTAAAGGTGTCTTTTTGCTTTTCTTTCTTATTTTTTTTTTTAAGAAAGAGAAGAGCAAGATGAGGTGGAAAGAGCACCAGACCGCTGACATTTGGACTGGGTCCAGGTTTGTCACTTGGCTGAACTGGGTGCCCATGGACAAGTCACTCCCCTGCTCTTGGCCTTCGCTTCTCTTTCTGGAAAGAGGAGAGCAGATCTCTCTCTCTCTCATTCTCCAAGTTCTGTTCTAGCTCTGAAGTTCTGTGGTTCCTTGACTTCGTTTCTCACAGATACTTAAGATCCTGGAGATAAGATCTTTCCCCGTCTAAACTCCAGGCCAGCATGCTATCTTTGAGAGAGTGACACTGTTATTATAGCTGTGCCAAGTGAACTTCAAATTAAGGAAACAACCGCCAAAGAGCCACTAATGGCAAATCGGTTTCTGGATGCTTAACCCTACAAGTTGCCTGTCATGGGACTGGAACTTCTCTTCCACAGATGGGTGGGGGTGGGGGCAGTGCCAGCAGAGACCCCCCCAGTGTGCAGCTGAGAGCCAGGACTTGGGTGAGGGGACCTGGATTCTGGACCTAGCCCTGTGCTGCTCCCCAAGACAGAGCCCATCAAATTCCATGATGAGAATAATAACTTAGGTCCATATAGACAAAGGAAATGGGCCAATTAGGGAAATTATCTGAATAATTCTAGTGGAACAAACACACCTGAAAATAATCAGGAAATTGAAAGGAAATTATCCCCTCACCATATAATTGCTTCAGTTTTCATTTCCTGATTAAAAGAAAACATGCCTCAGAGCGATCTACTTTCTTATCGTGAACATTCTTCCTCCTTTCTTTTGGCATTCATCTCTCAAATCCGTCCCTTTCTCCACATTTCCCCAGAGTTCCAAGTCCGGGAGACTAGAATTTCAGAATGAAGACCTTCGCGCAGAGGACGAGAATTTGACCTGACAATCCCTCAGGAAAAAACTGAGCTCTCAAAGCTCGAGTGAACAGACCAGTTGGTGAACATCAAAGAATGTCTGGCAAGGGTCACCTTCCCTGGAATCACTTCCCACTGTCCCCGCTCAGGCCAAGTCCGGACAACTACAATTGCCCTGTTAAACCAGGGCCTGGGTCCTCCCCTACCTGAATAAAAATCCTAGGGACCAGTGAGGGTTATCACTTCATCTTCCTGCCTCCCAGCACCTCAGGACTCCCTGACAGTTGAGGGGAAAAGCTTTTGTTGTTCTTCTCCAATATTTCAACTTTCTGTTCTCCTCTTCCCCAGAGGTGGGACGGGCAGAGAGCCAAGTGACAGAGCATAAGAAGACAGTTGGGAGCTGTGGCTACTTCTCCAAAGAGGTGGCAAGGCAGCTTCTGAAATGAACTGTGCTGTCCTACTTAAGGCACTGAGAGCAGAGGGTTTTTGCTTGTTTGTTTTATTTTCCCAGAATCCTCTGCATTTCAGAGTTGCACGAAGTTGCATGAACCAGCCAACTTTGTTCTTTCTTTCCTTATGTATTTTGTGTTATACAACCCTCAAGTGAACCCAGGCCATATAGATTATGGGTTTTGGAAGTTCTGGTAGTTAATAAGTGATACAGTCATATATATATATATATATATAGTGAGACAAGGCTAATTCGAAATTAGCCTTGCAACAAGGCACATGGTGACTGGATGCTCTACCTCTGAGAGCATGCTCACTTCCATTCAATGGCATGACTTACTGGTATAGCAGAGAAATGTAGTGGAAAAGTCTGGAATGAGAAGAACTGGGTTCAAATAGCATCTCATTACTCAAGTGCCAGCTGCTTGGGGTCATGAGAATAAATAAGACAAGAATCCTACTCTGATGGATCATATTTCTAGCTCCACCATGTACTGATGGTGCAATTCTGGGTACGTTACTCAACATCCATGAGCCTTATTTTCTTCACAAAGTGGGCATGATACTATTCTAGCGGGATAGTGCGAGGAGCCAGAGAGGCGAGGTATGTGAAAATGCATGGTAAGTTCCCACTGCATCTTTCAAGTGACCCTTCTGCCTCCCCAGCTCGCTGGAGTATGGGACTTACTTGTCATGCCACACCCACCATGCCCCGGCTAATTATTTCTTTTTTTTTTTTTCTTGTTCTTTTTTTTTTTTTTTCTTAGTAGGAGGAAGGGGTCTTCGCTCTTGCTCAGGCTGGTCATTGAACTCTGGCTCAAGCAATCCTCCTGCCTTGGCCTCCCGAAGGCTAGGATTGCAGGCGTGAGCCACCTCACCCAGCCCTCTTCTGCAGTCCTTAAAGCAACACCAGGATTGATGAATCTCATGATTTAAAGAATATTAGTGTTGCAATTTAGTAACAAAGTCAATTCACTAATTCAACCCATGTGTACTTCTCTAATCGGGCCCTGAACAATATGGTTTGAACCCCTATCCAGCAACCATA